ATACTATAAAAGGAGAATATCTCAATAGCGATAAGTAAAAAGCACGAAATTCTTTTCGAAACATCCATAACTCATTAGGGTCTACATGATGCATATAGTCACAACTTAAGAAGCGAATAATCAAAAGGAAAACTTCGCTCATTAGATTATGATTTGAACTTCATTATTAAGATTGATGAGAAAAAATATTTTATAGTGTTTATGCAATATTGTAAACCAAAACTTTTCTTTCCTACTAGATAGCATCAACAAATTTTTAATTACTAGGTTTCTATCACTATCTATCTACTGTATGACACTACTTATGACATATACTGCCCCCTCCTGTTGATTCATTTGTTGATCTTTTGGCGATAGTTAAACCATTGTGATATTATTAGCCGTATGGTAAGATCTACAACTAGATGAAATTATCCTTGACAATAACATATGTCAAACTAGTGAATGATTGTTTTGTAAATTTAACGTTCGTATTATGGGTTTTTTTTTTGTTGTTAATAAAAGGTCAAGTTTCTGCGGATAGTTGTCTATCATCATCAATTACGAATTCTTATCATCTTGTAAAAGAAAAGACATCCTCAACATTACCATTTTTTATTGATACACGTAATGGTATTATAACAGTTACACGTGAATTAGATCGAGAAAAACAATCATTTTATAAATTTTCTGTTGATTCATTTAATCATAAGACTCATCAAACAAGTCAAACAGATGTTCAAATAAATGTTCTTGATGAAAATGATCATTATCCAATATTTGATAATTCAATAAATAATGCTCGTGAACAATATATTTATATAAATAAAACTATATTTACAAAAAATTCTCATGAAAGAAATCCAACAATAAATAATATATTAGTAGCACGTGTTCATGCAACAGATGAAGATGAAGGTTCAAATGGTCTTATTAATTATTATTTTACAAATAATGATAATTATGCATTCTTTCATTTATATTCAAATGGTTCTATTATACTTTATAATCAAAGAAATCTACAATTACCATATCGTCTTGAAATTTATGCACGTGATCAAGGTAATCCAGTACCATTAAATTCTCGAGAAAGTATTGTTATATATGTATGTGATGCATTAAAACGTAATGAATGTCCATCAGATGAACCAATTGAAAATCAACAATGGTTAATTAGTTATAATAATAAAAATCAAATTAAAACAGATCGTTTAACAACAAATTTTTATCTTGGCTCAATATTTATTATGATATCAATTCTATTATTTATTGTGATTATTATTGTTTGTATTGTTTGGAATTTAATTATTAAAGGACAATTAAGAGGTAAACATGATCAAATACATGGTAATGGATTAAAATTATCAACTGAATCGTATAATTGTCGAATGGAAGCAAGAAAAAATCTAAGTAAAAAAAAAGATATCATTTTAGATTTTTTTGTTATTGTTGAATTTTATTTTATTTTATTTTTAGTTGTTTCCGATAGTCTTTGTGAATCATCACCAACAATGACATCAATTGATGGAAATAATCGTTTAAAATCTGTAGCTGTATGAGTATAATTAGAATAGGAGTTATTTGATTATACCCGGTGGTATTGAACAAAAAAAAAAGAAGAAAGAAAAGTTTTGTTTGCCTCAATTCTATTAGGTGCTGATAATGCATGATCATGAATGGCAAGATTCAATAGATATTTTATCTTTGTCTTTTATGCTTGGTGTACAGTCTTGTCAAACAGTGTGTGCTGTGTTTGATTTCACTTTTTTTTTGATTTTGCGAATAAAAAAATTTTTGTTATTTCGTAGTGAAGTGGTTGAACAAGAAATTTTTTATTGATGATTGCGAATCCAAATATAATTACAAATAAATAATCGTGTATCTAAGATTTTTGTTCCATCGGTTTCTTTTTCGAAAGGCTATCTTACAGGATATTTCTGTGAAAAGTAAAAGATATTATTATTGAAGTTTTTTCAGTTTCCCTCAAAAATCAATCGTGACTTAGGTACCAGGCCTCGAAACGGGTCACCCGGCTCGATGAACCGACCCGGCCCAAGAAGATTTTTATTTTGGGCCCGGCGGTTCTCATCAGCGAAGACCGGTGGGCTGGGCAGGCTTAAAATTCTGCCGAGCCGCTCTGTCTGAACTTTATTATTTCTTTGCAAGGAAAATTTTCCATGCACAGGAAAAGAAAAAACTGATTCTAATTAACTTCTAGCGAAAAATCGATTACGATGGAACTATCATCATTTGATCAAAATTAGAATACTTAAGTTTTAATTGATTTAAATGAAGATGGTCGTAAACGGGTTTTTCTCGAGTTTTAAGTTAGAAACTCAAACTTTTGGTTTGTTTTCGAACTCCTTACCTTAGCAAATCGTGATTATCACACTAGTCTAGACTTTGATACATATCCCAGGCGTTGAGATGAACATCAATTGATAATGACTCATGTAAGAAAAAATTTCAATAAATTAGATTAGAATTAATTCTTTTACAAACAAGTATCATTTAAAATCATACTATTTGAATCCAACAAAATCTGACTTGTCAGCTTTAAGGATACATTTCATTTGATTTTAATTATTTCTGAGCAGTTTCTAAAAAACAATTTTAATCAATAAGACTTTATTATTCGACTAAAAATCGATTTGGAATAGTAAAATCAATTGAAATCTATTTTTCAAATTGAAAAATTGAATTTGAGTAAGAATTAAATAGCATCATTTTAATCGATTTATTCAAGTTTTTCGTCAAAATTTTCTACATGGGTTGTACATCTCGAAATTGTTAACAATCAGGAAGCTTTATCATGCGGACGCTTTGGAAATTTCATTTAGGTAATAAATGAAAACAAAGCATGTATTCAGTACGATAGCACTTCTCATCCACACAGAAAGCGGAGTGAACTATTAACTGCATTAATTCATATGAACATTATTGAAGTGGAATAGTTTTAACTATATACTAAAATTAGTAGGGAAAGTAGAAATATTAATCGATGTGACTCTTTGGAATTGATTATTTGGCATTTCACTTTTGCAAGGTTTGTGCTAATAAATGATAGTATTCCAGAAGTTGAAGTATCAACGAACTCATCTTACCATATTGATTCAGTAAATAATTCGACTTATCTCTCAGGCTTTTTCTTTTTAAGATTTAAAATTGTCTAACCTTATTCAACTCGTGATCACCATGATAATTAATAAACTTTTTACAATGATTTGATAAATTACTCCAGTGTAGGGACGATCAATTTTGCATTTACGAAAACTTAATAAGTCCAAAAATAAATTTTTAGATATTTACATTTAAAATAAATTCAAATTCTCACATCTGAAAAAGTTTAAATCTATTCTTCATTTATAATTCAAGAAGTTTAAAATTAAAGTAAATTAACAAGAAATAGTCATCCCTAACTCCAGTGACCGTTGAGTTTCGTCATATAAAAACCTTTTTTTGTGTAAAAGAAATATAATTATAATAGTGCCATTGTTATTCGGGGCGGACTGGGTTGGGCACTATTAGAGTAGAAGTTGGGCTAGGCGGGCATGAGCAATTCTTGGTTCGGTATGGGCCGGGTTGTGCCATCAAAAAATGATCCGATTTCGAGGCCTGCTAGGTACATTCAAACCGTGTGAAATTCCCAGGATATGTTGGGACTGTAGTGGAGAGACTACGATAAAATTTCCAAGTCTATATCATCATTTTTTTTGGGAGATGAGCTTTCTTTCTATAGATTTAAATTTTTTTGTTTGAAAGAGCAATGGTAGAACTCGTTTTGTTTTATATTCTTACATTGTAAGAAGAAGAATGTTCAATGTCTCAAAGAGAATGGCGCTCGGAGTATAAAAGTATTCATCTAGATAATAGTAACAAAGATTGATTAAAAAGTGAACTTTGTTGTGCCCTGTATCTTGACATGATCTTTCAAACGAAAAAGCCGTTGGCTACAATGAAACTTCTTCAAGAATTCTAGGATGCGCAATCAAAAAACCATTAACAGAGAAAGGCCAATAGTATTTTTCACTTTATTTGGGAAAAAAAACATATTTTTCAAGTAGAAAATAACGATAATTTTTGGGAAAAACCGAGGTGCCAAATAAAACATCATGCTACATATGAAAGACTAAATCTCGGACCATTTTCTCATGCATTTTTTATCAATGTTTATTTGTCTTACGATAGTTGACTTTTTTCGAGAGGTCTTAAGAAAAAGATATCATTTCCATGTATAATATCAGACAGTCAGAGGTTTCTTTATCAGTTTTCATTTTTGAATACTAGTTGGTTTTCATTGGTGCACGTGACTATGATTAATACTGTCTCACGACATTTGAGATTACGTATATTTATATTTTTGGAAACATTTAATCGGTCATTTATATAATATATTTTAGACTTCTACGATACGTTTTTTTTTAGTGTCCTCACTATTTTGATTATACTTTATATACATTAAGCATTGATTATGAAATCGCTCTTTTTATAAACGTAATTTTCATAGTGCGATGTTGTCTAAAGAAAAAGTTTGGATAGGACACAATAAATCGATTTTGCGTACTATTTTAATAAAACATGTTGTAGTGTTTAAAAAAATCTCATGGCATTGAAAGTCATGCGATATTTTAATACCAATAGAAATAAACGAGTCTCATCATTGATGATTAATAAAATGTACTTTTTCTCAAGGACACATGACCCTTCTTTATCTTTTTTTATCATTTTATCAAAAGAAGTACAGCAATCATTCTCTGAAGAAACTATAGGACTACTTTAAATGCGCAGTTTCTTTTTTAACCTATTAGAATGGTTGAAAATAGAAAAACAATATAATGAAACCGTCAAAACAGCCGTTTATTCTCATCACCCACACTATGTCAGTCGTTGAAGACATGTTTGGCTTACTCAAAGTCGACCGTATATATAGCACGTCAATTTTTCGTAGAGCAGCAGTAAAGTGTTTTTTATAACGACATTATTCTTTTTGGTGACGAGAAACAACGATGGTGTTTTACAAAATGGTCCAATTAGTAGAAGCCGGCGAGAAATATGGCGAAGGAAATCAAATGTTGGTGGCAGCCGAGCCTATTGCTGCCGGTGAAAAAATTTGGTGGTGCACTTGTGGTGATGATGATTATATGATGTCAAGAGATGAAATACTCCACTTAACAGAAACACAACCTCATTTGAAAAATTTTCTCTGTTGGTATTCATACATGGTAATAGACTTAAAGTAAATGATAGTCTATTTTGTTTTTTTTTTTTGTTATGATTGTTAGGCTGAGGATGATATGTATATGATTCCTCGTACCTTTGCTGCTCAACGAAATAATGATGAATGTATTTTATTTAATCATTCATGTGAACCAAATTGTGGCTTTGATTCTGGTGATGGAAATACAATTGTTGCCATTCGACCAATTGCTGTCGGTGAAGAGTTAACATATGATTATCATTTTCTTGAAACTGAAGCCTCATTAATTCGTGGTCTTGAATGTAAATGTGAAGCACCATCGTGTGTTGGTCGAATTATGTTTGATCGTTATCGTGATGAAGAGTTTCAAAAACAATATTATCAATATATGTCACCATATTTACAATCACGTGTACGTGAATTAAAAACAAAGTGGTATTCAACAAAGTGTTTTACACGTTCTGCAACACCAAATAAAACAAAATCATTACATGCTCTCGAATGGATTCCGGCCGGTGAAGTCGTAGCAAAATTTTCAGGTTCATTTAACGCTGAAAATCATTTTATTCGTGCAGTGGAAGAAGATGAAGCTACATGTGCAGTTGATGAACATAAACAAGTAATTGCTTTATGTGATTTGGCACCCGAAACTGAAATAACATTATATTATCATGGAAAGTTGTAAGTTTTTATTTCCAATTTAATAATATGAATATATTGACATTATATCTTTTTTTTTTGTTTAGGTTGTAATAAAGGCTGGGTGTGTATATAGCACTTATTTATTCGGTTTTCTTCAATTCATATTATATATCCTCGGCGACATGATTTATGTCTAATGAGTCCCATTCGGTGACGGTGATTTTGTGCAGAAAAGAATTTATTCAAGGTTTCAATTCAATCATCTGGTCTCAATAATCGAGAGAACATTCCAGATTTTAAATATTTTCTGTTTTTTGGTGATTGTTTGAATAAAAGTACTTAATGAATCATTGAATGTAGGTTGAAAAGAAAGATAGCAGATAAGTCTTAAGATAGAGACAAATTAATTCGTATCAGTTTTTCCTCGTCAAATATTTGGTTAGCTATACGTATACATGAGAAATCGAACAGACGGTCTTTACTTATTTTATCTTTAAAGATTCGTACTTGCAATAAAAGTTGATTGCTTGCAACTCACTATCAAAAAAAAATTTCAATAGAGGCTACTCTCCAATAGCAAAATAATAAATTTTCATACGTTGAAATAAACTAGTGTTATATGGGAGCAATCAGTAAAAAAATAAGACATGATATTTTTCGACTTGGAATTTTTATATGGATGGAGTTTTTGAATAAATTCTTTCTCTATGAATATATATAAAAAAATATGAGCTCTTTCTACTCACAGCTAATTACACTTAATATGATTAGTGAAGAGCTCTCTAATCTTATAACTAAAAAGTCTAAGAATTTCAGGATAGATCTCACGTTAAATATTATATCTATGGTGAAATTTTCAACAAGATTGCATTACAAAAAATTGCCTTCTCAAAACCGGTTTCTGAGACACTTGCGCAGGCCTCAGAACAAAAATTTTTTTTACTACGATTTCGAGATCCGTATACGGATTGGTATCATTCAGAATTATTTTTTGAATTTTTCATTCAGTTGCAAGAGATTTTTTCGATTCTATATTGATTGTCATTTACGTCGCTAACGAATAGTTTTGTGTAGAGACTGTGTAACCTCAAGAGTCCTCTACCAAACATACTATTTTCTTTTAAAAAATACTGTTCGAACCTACAGAATTTTCGAATGGGTACACACACAATAAAAATTTTAATCTCTCTTTTTAAGTCATGTCATTAGTGCTAGTTTCTCAACAATGACTCGACCGAACGAAGGTCTATAGGACAGAGTTTTTTAAGGTATCTAGAGTAACTCAGCATACATCTGTTACATAAAAATTTTCTGAAACAAAAATAATTTCCAAATCTAGAAATAGATGCATTTGTATTTTACGAAATCACACTGCTAACGTATAAAATTACCGATAAAGCTTTCATCAATGATATAAAATAACTGTTTTAATGACAAAAACAATGATCTAGTGATTTCACCATTGTTTCTTTTTTAACGACGATGTTAAGAAGAGAAAGAAATTATATATTTATTTCTATACGTGGAGACCATCACATCAAAAATTAAAAATCAATGTTAACGGTGGGCTCGAAAAAAAAAGCAAAAGACTAATACTCCAAGTATAATTTAATAATTTATATTTTCTTTGTAAAATACAGCAGTAGACAACAGTCTCCTACCCTTCCCCTCGTACTTCGACTACCATATATGCTATAGATCGGTATATTTGTGTGCATATACCCTCTTAAGAATGTATGTCTGAGACGTGAGTTTACCTCAATTATTTACATCGAACAAAAATTATGATGGATAGTAATGGATTGCACTTATTTATCTTTTTAACTTCAAACCTCTGAGAAAACCTTTCTGAATCGGTTCATTGTTCATTATTTGATAGTTTGTTTCAATTATCTACCGTATTAATTTCATCAAAGCTCATCAAGTCTTCCTAGATTTGTAGGCAATTTTTCCACGATTATTTAGATGAAGGAAAAACAATTTTCTGGCCTTTGAAAACCATAGCTCAGTAATAGTTCAATGAATTGAACAAAAAATTGTACGTAAGCATTATCTGTATTCAAAGTTTCATAAAAGATCCTTTCACTAAATGAAAACGCCAACATATCAATAGTATAGTTATCCAAAAAGTGATTACAAAAGGAAACAAAGATAATGAACATTATATCAACTAGTACATAATGCATATCGTATTAGTATTGTATCCAATCGTTTTCAGTGATTGATTATTTTTTACCAAAATGTCTACTTATAGAACAAAGACGTTATAAATATACTTTATTGAGTTTTAATGAAATACATTTGTTTTAGATATAGAGATGAATTTATTGATTTAAAATAATAAGAAAATATAAATAACTTTTCAAATATTAAATATTAATATTTGAATAATGTAAAAGTACAATTAAATACATCTTATCACTTAAAAAAAAGCCTGTAAATTTTTTATCATCTATTAGTCAGCTGATTCAAACATAAAAATATGGTAAATTTTTTAATAAGACTAAATATAGTTTTCCGATTACATTAACAAATATCCTTTTAATATAATTTTTATGTCCATTCGTAATCGCTCGTTTCAAATCTTGGATTGAACATAACTTCAGTAATCTCCTGTTCTAAATGTACATTTTTTCTATCAAGACAAATTGCTATAAGCGCAGAAGGTATTGTATGCAGTACTGCGTCATTAATTTGTGCACCACAATTTTTGCCTGTTTCCAAAAGTAATGAAAGTACATTAAAATGAGCTTCATTTAAGTGTAAAAATAAATCAATCATTGTTTGTAAATTTTCACATATAATCGAACAAAAATCAATTATTTTAATCATTTTATTTTCTCGTTGATCATTTTGAAAACACTCTAAATAAATTTTAAATATCATTGCATGTAAATGAGCACATGTAAATATTCCAGAAATTCTTTCTTCAACTAATTGATCATTTAAAGATGTCATGGCACATATATTTGTATGATTAAAATAAAAAATTGCATTTTCTGTTAAATTCTTAGAATATTTACTTGTTGGTAATATGCAGAAATCATAAGTAAATCTTACTAAATGACCATTACTACCACATGAATAATGGGCATCTAAGCATGGAAAATAATAACAATCATATACAGTAAGGAATCGATCACATTCATCGTATTTTTTAACTGATTTTGATTGAACTATTTGTATAATGTAAAATAAAAATAAATATTGAAAAATTTTTCTCATGTTAAAAGCAATCGTTACATCGTTACACATCATTGATCAAAATAACGAATGGTCACCAAGATCAATAAAGAACGAATGATAAGGAAAGAACGAAGAATATATAAAAAAAAAAAAGGATCGTAACGTATCATTCATACATTCATGTTACAAAAAAACGTCAAGTAGGTTATTGAAGGTTTCTTCTCTTTGATATAGATGCGTTTTATGACCTTATCAATATACGTATTGGTAGGCACGTTTTTTTTTTCAAAACGATAAAGCCAACTTCATCGTTCAACACAACAGTATGAAAAATCATTAAATTTGAACTTTGCTTGAATAACAATTAAATACCACGTAGCAAATCACATTTATTTAATTAATTGATTCAATATCTAGAACCTATTAAAGTTCAAAATAAGGTACTATTTATGATTGAAATGATGTATGGATAATTTGGTGTTACAGATTATTCTCCAAGATAACATACAAAATGATTTGTTTGAGAAATTTTACTTGAAGACTTTGATATAATTTAAAACTTAGTATCAGAGGAGATGTACTAGTCTAAAAATTAATGTTCGATACATATGAATTTTTCAATTCAAAGAAATTTTAAAACAAAAAAAGAAACGTACATAAATTTTAATTAGTATCATTCAATACTTCGAAGTCTGTTTCATCATCCATATAAAAATCAAGAAATGTCATCTATACTCTCCTAGGCTTACCATTATTCAGCTGAAAAACTGTCCTTCAACGATAGAACAAGTCATCGTTTATTTCTTCTGAATAGTCCCAGATCGATCATTCCGACTGTTGGAAGATGCATCTTGGATGGTTTGAAACGGCTCTAAAATACTATCTTGCTACGTTAAATTGCTCCATGATCGGTTACACTGTTTTATAGGGCATTTTTTGTCATCAGTAAATGATCAATTTTTCTCCTACTGTTTTTGCCATTATATGCGATTACAGAGAAAAGCAACTTAGTACTCAATCAGATAAACAATTAAAACAATCCTGTAAAAACCGCTCAAAATTTCAACGAAGATAAAATTGCAAAAAGTATATATTATTACGATTTCGATTTCGTTCAAGAAATTTAATGTATTTTGACGTGTTCAATCTTTGAATTGAGTATGTCCCTAGTGAGACAAATACATATTCCGTAGATCTGAGGTTGTTGAAGTGTAGTTCAGATGAGTAATTAGTTATTCTAATTTTGTTATCATCTTGTAACAAATGACTTTTTTTTTAGTTTAATTTTAACCTATAGAACCCTATAGAAAATCTACAATTGCTTGGATTTTTAAATTTCACATACAGTTTTGATATAACTAAGAATTCATCTGAAATATACTTCAAGTTATTTAGATCTATGGAATGTGATTGTTTTCTATAGAAATATACTCAATTCAAAAAGCGAATGTAAAGATGAATATTACTCAGTCTATGAGAAGCGTACTTAACTATTGTACATTCCATGAAAGTCTCATATATAAAGATTGTTTCATCGACCTCGGATCATGTCCAGTTTTTTTTGTATTTTTCGAATATACAAAATTATAGACAAACATAGAAACTGTATATTTGTAATATCGAAACTATCATCCAAAATTTTCTAAATTCAATTGACATCATCATTAAGGAAGTATATTATTAGAAAACATGCAAAAATATATTTATGAAATTTAGTTTCGACTCTTTTTTTCTGTTAGAATAAGAAAAATATGAGTTTCGCATTCACTGTAAATCATTTTATCATTGTCGATATTATTGAACTTAATGCTAAAATAAGTTTAAACGGAGGTTTTTACACCATTAAAATAAAAACATGATAAAAAAGTGTATATCTTCTATGTCTGTTCAAATTTGTATATTCGACAAACTACAAAAAAAAAAAGTCAAAATGAGTCCGAAGCTTATGAACTACTGCAGTTATATAAGTGAAACTTATTCATGATATCTCATTATAGTTATTCACTTCTTCTTTATCCTCTGCTGAGGTGAACACAGAACCTAAAAGATTACAATTCGATTCTACTCTAAACAAGACATAGAATGATGAATGTCTGCCATGATCAGTAGCGTTTGAATGCTTAGAATATTTCGGCGTTGCCTATATAAGAGTAAAAGATTTCGATATAAGGACTAAAAATTTAAAGACTAGCTCTTATAAAATCACTCGTGTAGGTTATCTATCTATAAACTATGTTAACTCTTAACTAACTATACAGAATAAAATACAATAAGTTGCTAAAAGAGTATGTTAAGTAAGTTATGAAGAAGATTCGATTTTTAGTATGAGCGTACGAGAAAAATGAAGATATCATGTAAAGAATGAATGATTGAATGGATGGTTAATTCAAACGAATGAGAAAATTAATATTAAAATAATACAAATATACACAAAATAGAATTGAAGAGGAAACAAATAAAAAAGCTATACATTTCAATATGTATAAAGACGATTAAATTATTAAAATAAACTTTCACTATTTTGAAGTATTACATCAGCACATAGGTTCTGCACGTTTTTTTTTCATGTTTTAGGCAACTTTTAGGCTTTATATCTCATGATTAAAATATGATAGAGGCCTGAAAGTTTTAGTATAAATAGGTCTCCATGACTTCTATCTGCTTTAAATATTTCACATCTCTATCACTTTCTAATCACAAGATATAAAGCTTGAAAGTGGCCTAAAACACAAAAAAAAAACGTGCAGAACTTATGTGCTACTGTAATATTTCGCTGAAAGTGATGATGTGACACTATCAACATTATTCACCACCAGAGTACTCGATATATTGCATTATTTTAAACACATGATACTTTAAAGCACTTTGTCACCGGAGATCAGACAATAAGCCTCACTAAAATGTGTTTTTTTTAAATGTCAATGTCTCCATCATAAAACTTACATCTTTTCTTACTTCTATGATAAGAAAATGTTATTTGCATCATATTATAAAACTGTCTACAACTCATTGCAAAAAAAACATCAGCAAATTCCGTAGTTTCTTGAAAATATTGACAAATGCAAGACATGCGAAGTTAACTGCACGATGAAAGGAGAAAAGAACGTAATGTAATATTCTCAGCTTTAATACATAACTTATGTCTTGGTTTAGTTTGAATAAAATCAGTCGATGCCGAGAGAAACACAAAGATTTCGTCATCATCACGATGAATACAACCGAATTTTAACATTAATAGCGAAAGCAAATAAACCCATATGCTTCGATAGATTCTATTCAATCAGAATGATTTATTCATTTGTAAATAAGATTCACAACTTACTATGCGGATTCATATCAACCTAAAAATACAATAATATCAATAGATCTACGAAAAATCTGTCGCTGTTCAAATCTTTAATTTGATAAGACTATTAAAAATACAAGAAAAATAATTTCTATGATCACATAACTATTAGAAGCATGAAAGGAACAAAATATATCGATAATAAATGCTAAATCGCAAGTGGTTCACAAACAAATTTTAATTTTGAATAAAACAATAGATAAAAGAGTTAAACAAATAGATACTATAGAAACTGGCATAATCTTGCACATATAAAACAAAAAGAGTAATCCAACATAGTCACGAAAGTTGTATTTTTTTATTATTGTTAAAAATTGATTTGTTATTATGCTAAAAACTCAGAACCATCTACAAATAATAACTTTCACAATCTGGTATGTGCATATACTGACAAGTGATGCGACTAAAGATTCGGGAAAGTTCGACAAATCTCAAGAGATAAATCCGTTTAAACACGTTCAATTTCTTTAAAAAGAAAAGGGAAAATAACGAATTATTGTGGAGCATTGTGAAATATATTCAAGAAAATATATGCAAATGTCTGTTTTCTTAACCAATCTTTCAGTATTAAAGCGTTACTACCTTTGAAAGCGTTACAATGCATAAAGTTTTTCGTACAAATCGATAGAAACACATAAGTCTAGAAAAATGTTACACATTTTAACACATACACGTATTACTAATGCAATTAACCTATAGATAGTATACTTATTGTTATAGCAAACAAAGTAAGAAGTCTATTGTTAACATGGTATACTTTTAAAAACATAGGCAATCATAATTCTTCCACTTGAACTTGATTTCAAGATGAAATACTGTTACCAGTGACATCTATGTTAGCACACAACAAATGTGGAAAAGGCCTGTTTTACTATATTATAGTTTCATTCTCTATTCCAATTTTTAAAACGAAAATTTACAAACTTTGCTGTCACAGGATTAGATGCGTTTTTCAAGGATCTTATCAGAATGAGTAGCAACACTGTTTTTGAAATTTTATACCGCTCACAGTACTAGTATTTTCGACCTGAGTTCTAGTTTTTCATTTTTCGATTTCTTCTTTATTTTATCATTTTATGCCTCATTTCATAGAAAAAAGTTCTTTGTGGGATAATATGGTTTGAAATACAATAAAAAAAGAAGAACGCCATAAGAATATAAGAAACAACAATAGCAACAACTTTAATGCTATCTGCAAGATATGTATAGCTAATGTCCGTCCAAAAAGTCCGTGCGTGTGACTATTTTTTGAATAATTTTTGATAGGAACAAGATACAGACTTGCGGTTTTCGGCGTTCGACAGCCAAGGCAAAGAGACATCTTTTCACTATGAAAAACTTTTCTGAGGAACAATTTCGAAGTCAGTTTATCACAGGATCTTTGAAAAGTTAGATTGGATTTCTCAAAACTTGCATGGAGACCTATTGATATTTTTACATATTTGGAATCTCCACTAAAAACTGAGTCAAATCATATATGTTTCGAATCGTTTCGCGACACTTTTTTTCCATCGAAAACCTCTGCCCTAGGAACCCGTCAACAAATAAAGTTCGTCAAAACGCCGTTTCTATCATTTAATCTTGCGCCATTTTGTGTTATAGTAGCATTTTACAACTTCGGAAGTTGCTTTCCACTGTCCAAGTGATCTTTTGACTAACTTTATTTATAGACGGGTTCCTACGGCAGAGGTTT